CCGGGGGGGGTCGTGCAGGCCGCATTGGGTCCTCCCCTGTCGCTTTACCGGGGGGGTTCGTGCAGGCCGCACTGCGTCTACCTGGGCTCCCCCCCCCCTGTGGGAGTGGGGGGGTGGGAGTGGGGGGTGGGTTGGGGGGGAGGAACGGACGTGGAGGAGGAGGAAAGGAGAGGAGGAGGAGGAGGAGGAGGAGGAGGAGGAGGAGGAGGAGGAGGAGGAGCAGGTGGACGAGCAGGAGGAGGAACTGGCATTCCTGTTGTTCGCACTGCTGGGCTCGTGGCCACAATACGAGAGGCTGCGGCGCAACTCCCAAGAGCCGCTGTGGGGGGTCGACGGCACGGCCGAGTAGAGAAGAGCAGTGCCGCCGTGTTCCGGCACGGCCCTGGGATGCAATGCCGCCGCCGTGTTCCGGCCCGTCCTGGTAAGATTCGCGCGTCGGGGCTGGGGTTCGCGCGTGCCGGGAGCGCGCCGCTTACGGAAGGGTTGCGTCCTTACCGGGGGGGTTCGTGCAGCCTACCCCTTGAGCATCCAATACACCAATATATTGCAAACACCAATATATTTGCTCTTAGCGAGAACCCATGTTCGAATATATTCGCTCGCGGCGGGCGCCAATATATTAAGTACGCTTTCCTATGTTGTGTTCGACATGATCCCTCATGGTTGCGCGACGTCACCCCTTGCTAGGGGAAGAGCTTCCTGCGACCCCTTCAAATTTAGGGGCACTTCCTTTTCGTTTACCCTTTTTTTTTCTGTAGCCATTTGCTCAAACGCGAGTGGCAGCAGGCATTGCGTTGAGATGGGGGGCGCTTCTAAGGAGAAGCCGCGCCTCTACCGCACTTGCCAGCTTGGCGATGAGGCCATGGTTGACTTGGTGAAGCAGCGCGTGTCATTGATCGAGAAGAACTACATAGATGGCACAACGGAGCAGATCATCAAAGATAACATGCCGTTCTTGTTGGATGCGTGCCAGGCGTCGCAGCGCTTGAGCTCCACAGCGCTCACGAAGGCCATCATTTCGCAGAAGACGCACCTCACGGCAGAGGGAGCGAAGCGCTGGGCCACTGAGATGAGCAGGTGCGTCAGCTACGTAGTGAACAAGTTCAGGGGCGCCGTGACCGCGGAGAAGCTGGATCACTACACGAGGACCCTCGGACAGGCGATGAACTTGGAGTGCGGTCGTACTTCTTCTGGCAAAAAGAAGGGGACGCCACGCAGTGATGACGTCGTCGAGAGCACCTCCGCGGATGACACTCGTGCCGAGAGCTCGGCCCCAGCCGCGAGTGCACCGCGCAGTCCAGCAGACGCAAGGCACAAGCTGATCAAGGAGCTATATGGGATTTCTCCACCGCCCAAGGCGAAGACCAAGAAGGACGAAGTGCACAGCCCGCTCGTCGCTTTCTCCAGCCAGGAGGTGATGGAGTCACCTGCGCGCCCTTCCGCTGCGCCTGCCGCTTCTAGCTCTGCGAAGAAGGTCACTTCTCACCTCCTCTCCATCCCTTTCTGCTGCCTGCTAATTTCTCCTGCTGTGATCACCCTCTTCTATCCGTCCAACTCATCCGTCTTCTTTATCACAGGTGACGTGGTGCGACTGGAACTCCGACCCGCCGTCCATGGTCGTTGCTGATGAGTCGGGTCAGGAGACGCGCGTGCCGCTGTCAGCAGGCGAGATGGGTTTCTCGATCGCACGCGCGCCTGGCGGGGACAAGATCGAGACAGACCAGTCCAACGCCTTGCTCGTTGCCCATGCTGAGGGGCGGAAGAAGCGGGAGGCCCAAGAGAAGGGGGCGCTGACGAAACCTGACAAACAAACAATGAAGAACAAGTGTATGAAAGCAGCCAGGAAGCGCCCTGCTGCAGCGATGAAGGGACCTCCCAGGAAGCGCCCTGCCCACGCGAAGGCTGCCAGCGAGGCTTCGGACGGAGAAGAAGGCGGCGGGCAGGAAGACGAAGAGGAGGAGGAGGAGGAGCAGCAGGACGCGGGAGGCGGTGGCGACGACGAGGCGGAGGACGAGCTAGCCGACGAAGCAGTTGGAGGCGCTGTCGACGGGCGCGATTATCACCTTGACTGGCACAAGAGGGACTACAGGGTGGGGATCAAACTGCTGCACGGGAAGAAGAATTAGCTATGCTCGTTCGGAGGCGCCGCTGCGAGGGGCAAGGTGTCGAAGGAGGAGCTGCTCGACATCGGCAGGCAGGTGTGCGAGCAGCTCAAGGAGGGCACGATTGCTGAGAGGAGGGATGTTGCGCGGGGCGCTGCGGACGCTCTGATGGAGGAGCTGATCGATGGAATTACCCTCATCCTCCCCCTCCTCATCATCATCGCGATCATCATCACCATCATCAGCACACATCGTCATCTTACGCAGCACTTCCCCTCTGTCAGGGGCTCGCCATCTCATCTCTTCACGCTATTATATAATGTTTACATCCCCTCCACCAGGGGCGTCACGAACCCCTTGTTAGGGGACGCGCCCCTTCGTTCGGGGGAACCACAGCA